TTCGGGCCTAGACCCTTCTTCAGAAAATGAAGAAGGGTCTAGGCCCGAAACGTCAGCCTTCCTGCTCCTCTGATGCTGCTTGGCCTGCTGTGTTCATCCAGCTCTACATCTTGTTATCTCAGATTTTCCAGCATCTGCAGTTCCTACTATCCATGCAGATTTGAGATCGGTCTGGAGGGGATAGTGGTGTTGAAGGCAGAGCTTTAGTCAATGAACAGGAGTGTGACGTGGGCGTCCTTGTTGTCCAGATGTTCCAGGGATGAGTGCAGGGCTAGGGATATGGCATCCACTGTGGACCTGTTATGTCAGTAGGCAAACTGTAGGGGATCGAGGTGAGTTGGGAGACTGGAGTTGATGTGGGCCATGAGCAGCCTCTCGAAGCACTTCATGATTATTGAGGTTGGAGCCCTGGGCATTAGTCATTAAGGCTCGTTGCGTGTGCTTTCTTAGGTACAGAAATGATGGTGGTCTTCTTCAAGCAGATGGAGACGTTGGCTTGAAGCAGAGGGAGATGTTGAACATGTTGGTGAATATCTCCACCAGTTGGTCCACACAGGATCTGAGTGCTCGGCTGGGGACACTGTCCGGGCCCATCACTTTCCTTGGGTTGACTCCCAGAAAGACTGATTTGATGTCTGCAGCGGCGACATTGGGCACAGGTGTGTCCAGGGCTGTTGGGGCAGGCATGACTGTGCCTCTGGTATTGAGCGCATCAGGGAGGGATGAGTCTTTGTTGGCTACCTTGCTCTACTTCATTTTGTATCCCGTAATGTTGTTTAGGCCTTGCCATAGGCAGCGGGCATCTGTTTGGTAGGTTTGGGCCTCTAACTTGGTCCAGTACAGCTTCTTGGCCTCCCTGTTGGCTTTACAGAGGTCATATCTGCATTTTCTGTATTGGTCTGCGTCATCCAACTTGAATGCTGCAAATCTGGTCTTTAGTAAGGAGCGGATTTCCTGGTTCATCCAAGGTTTCTGGTTGGGGAACACTCGGATTGACTTCTTTGGCACACAGTCCTCCATGCATTTACTAATGAAGTCCGTGACAGTGGTAGCATACTTATCTAGGTTTTCCACTGAGTACTTGAATACAGTCCAGTCCACCGATTCCAAGCAGTCCTGGAGACGGAGATAGTAGGAACTGCAGATGCTGGAGAATC